TCTTGATCCACCCTCCCCCTCACATGTAAAGCTCTTGATCCACCCTGCCCCTCACATGTAAATCTCTTGATCCACCCTCCCCCTCACATGTAAATCTCTTGATCCACCCTCCCCCTCACATGTAAATCCCTTGATCCACCCTCCCCCTCACATGTAATCCTCTTTATCCACCCTCCCACTCACATGTAAATATCTTGATCCACCCTCCCCCTCACATGTAAATCTCTTGATCCACCCTCCCCTTCTCATGTAAATCTCTTGATCCACCCTACCTCTCACATGTAAATCTCTTGATCCACCCTCCCCCTCATATATACGTCTCTGGATTCTACCACTTGCTTGTTTCCATATTTTTATTCAACCCCCATCTCATTTTTATAAAAATGAGATGGGGGTTGAGAAATCCAGAAACCTGTTGCAAAACATGGGAATATTGGGTGGTATATTTAAAATATAATTTGAATAACTGACCCTTGTAATTGTGATTATGAGCTTATGGACCATACAATGTTGTCTGTACTGTTGCAGGCCAAGGCTGATGATCATAACAGTTATCGCCTGTTGTATTCTGCATTTCAAGAGTGGAAAAAATTCACAACCAATGCAAAAATCAGGTTTGTAATAGTGTACCTCAGTTGGCATAGCAACAGTCTGATGTGGGCATTGAAGCGATCCAAATAAGTACAACTTATGTTCGTCCTTTGTACAAGTTACAGTTATCAAAGGCTCCCAAAGATCTTCCCATATTCTATATGTTATTCTATTTACATCTACATAGAATTTACCTGTAATATCTTGTGACATTGATGCAAGCTTCTTATGACTTAGTACAATAGTGTGCAATATTTCCTTTTTATATTACTTTATTTATGTAGTATTCTTTTTTATTCCATTCTACCTCTAGCCGCACTTATCATCACATTGCAGTCAGACATCACTTTATCTCTATTCTAAGAAAGATTTGGACGTCATGGACTAAGGTATGCTTAAAGTCACATGCATCAAGCCCTCCCTGTTCAACTGGAGATTTGGACATACAGTCAATTCAAAAAATGTTGTCGTCGACCAACTTAAGCCTACGCGACTGGACCGAAAGGAACGCTGGGTAAAAATCATTGAAGCCGAGTTGACTCCATAATTTTATCTGACTAGTTATGCCTCATTTACAGCACGAACCTTTGTAGGCGAGCGGGAAGTGTTGAAGGAGACATTTTTTCAATGCCTTCATATTTTCGAAATTGTGAACTGAATCATAACTACTTTGTTTTTCTTTCCCTAAACCCGAAGACAGCATTTGATGGATTGTTTCTCGCCATTATTATCTTATTACTAGTGAGAACAATTAATTCAGAACGAATATTTAACCGCTTCAGTGGTTTTTACCCATATTCCTTTCGGCCCAGTCGCGTAGGCTTTAGCCAGTCGACGACAACGTTTTTTGAATTGACTGTATGCACTCTCTTGACAGCACTTCACTTGACATCATTTCCTGTAACATGCAGAATGTTCATCAGCTGAATCACAACTTTTCAAAGCAATTTTGTCTTCCTGACGGCACTTTTGATTTCAAGACTTTAATCAGCTGATTGAAAGGGGCGTAGCCTCTATTCTTGTGTTTTCTATATAGAAAGGGAAGGACCCTACCATTATCTTTCAGGAGTTTTAGATAATCACCTCTCCCTCCCCCTATTATATATATGTATATACACACACCCACGCACTATCTTCTTGCTCCATCACTTATATTTTCCATTATTCTTTCAGTATGTTCAACACAGGCAACGGAAATGGCGTCAGCAGGAAATTGCCGATTTGCACTATCAACATACAATCATCAGAAGACTGCTTCAAAGTTGGAAGGTTCGACCTTTAGCGTAATAGAACTGTCAGTAGGATGTTAAGAAAGAGTAAATTGGATAAAGTCATCGATGTTGAGAATCTTAGGTGTAAAATAAGTAATGCCGTCAACACAGTGTCAACAACATCTGCAGAATAATTATGATCGAGTAAAAAAGAACATTTATACATATAACTGAAACGAAAATATATTCTCAAGGGAATGACATGAACGGGAATGAATGTCTGAAATGAGAAATGTTGAAATGAACAAAGCAGACCATAAAAATAGTGCCATTTAATCACAGCACGCCGTATTTCTTCTTATTGACATTAGCACGGCACTTTTGTACCAAAGATTTTTCAGTCTTATTAAATATGTCCATGTTTAAGCATATTATTTGCATGTGTTTGCAGATTTACTCTGCCCGTTCACTCCAAGTTTTGTCTTTTGCAAATCAACGGCTCAAAGAGCATAACCACAAGAGACTAAGGTATGGTATAGTAGTAATAAATTGTGCGTTCGGTGTGTATAATGAAGTAGAGAGAATCACAGACAGCCCAAACAAGGTTCCTGTGTATTGCTTATAAGGGAATGTATGGAAGTTATGATAAAATCATGACAATAAAATGGTTAACTCAACAATTTGCCTCAAAACATGCTGCAGTTGTTGGTTATACTTTGTTCAGTCTTCTGTCAAAGTTTCAGCGCGATTTGAGGCCGTTTAGTGGGTTTTTTCAAAACCCGCTCTTCTCTACCTAAGGCTTGACGATATATTTTTCTCTATATTGCCTTGCGTCATCGATTACAGCAAAAGACGGCACATCGAACACCTTTATACATGAAATAGAGACAAACACATAAAACTCTACATGTTATCCGACATCTTTGTTTCGTTTTGCCCCCTGGACGCCTCATAATGCCATGCGATCCAAGATGGCTACAGTATCGTTGAAGTAGTCTATTGCTACCAATATTTAAGTAATAGAAAGATTGCAACTAAGGCAACCCAAACAAATTTTAAATCAAATTCACTAATCAGGTTTTTGACGCTGAATATAACAGGAGGGGGACGAGTGTTTCTTGTTTGTTCACTCCTTATAACACATACACTAGTATAAAGTAAAATATGTGCTTTTAAACGGCAAGAAATGGGAACATTTCTTTCCTTCTTTCTTTCTTTCTTTTTGTTTGTTTGTTTATTTGTTTATTTATTTATCTTTGTTTTTCGTAAAAAGGGAAATGTTTTCGACATGGTGTTATTTTGCTGTGCAACATAAGAACGACTGCTTATCACGTGCCCAAGCCGTGATGCTGTATCAGACTACCATCAAGAGGAAGGTATGTATGAATAAACAGAACGACGGACCGGCTTTGAGTCTTAACATAAATAAAATAAATAGAAGAAGTGTCTACAATGGTAGATTCATGGATATTTCTGATTTGGGCTCGAGACACGATAACTAAAAGTTTCCCAGTGCCAGAGCATTCATGTGATTCCCTTGCGTATGTTTCGTCTGGTCATAGTTAACTATGGTCTGGTATGGTCATTTTATGCGGGTGAACGATTTCAGTACAAATGACTGATTTACGCTATAAATTCGATCAGATTTCACTTAAAGCTCACCCGTTATCTATAATTTATTATTCATAATAGACTTCAGTGTAATTTTAGATTTGAATACAGAGTTTCTAACGCTGTGATTGGTCGAGCGACCAGCGATTCTGAGACGATTACCACTGCTGGAGCGGTGATTATGAGGTTTTCCAAAGTTTGCCAGTAATATTAAAACCTTTTTTTAAACCCCGAAGTTCGACTTTTCTCTGATTTTCAAGTCTAAAATTATACTCAGGCTCAGATAGATACATGCATTAGATACCTAGTATTAGATACCTAGTATTAGATACGTAATGTTTAATAAACGAGCAGGAGTGTTTTACAGATATAAAATCAC